CCCCCCCCCACACACACACACACTTGAACTGGCTTCAGGGTCGAACCTTTGTCCACAACTCCAAGCGTCCGTGTGGGAGTTATTACGCCATCTAATATGTCTCTAAATATAGGCTCAGCCTGACCTGGCAAGGTCAACAGGTGATTTAGTTAAATAAAATGAATACTATAAAATATGAAATATATAATAAAATAATGTTTTCAAGTAAAAAACTGCAAAGAATGTTTAACATCGTGTCAAAATGAGTGTTATAATTAGCTTTATATTAAGTTAAAAATCACCGTCTGTTTCTGTTTGATATTGATAAATTTTAGACATTGCTTGTGACCAAGTCAGCTCCTAGCAACGCAACTGTTTGGCATCAGTTACTTGGTAACTAAACATGCATGATTATTTAGCAAACATATCTTTGAGTCAATTAATTATTTTCACTAGTAATTATCGCATTGCTGTCTGAAAATCGTTCAAGGAAAATGGCTAGCAAACTAGAAAGAAGAAGTACAATGAGTCCAAACAAAATTGAAAGACAACGAACTAAGAGTCCAAGGCCAAAATCAAACTACGCTGCTTCCTTACGTTTGAAACACAACAACATGAAAAGTCTGGATGTTTACAAAGCTTCATCGGTTGTAAGTAAAATGAGAAGTAGAAGTAAAACAAGAAAGAAGACTCCAGTACTTAAAGTAGAAAGTCCTCCTCCTCCCCCACCACCACCACCAATACGTACACCAACACCTGAGCCTGAGCCAGAGCCAGAGCCTGAACCTGAACCTGAACCAGAAATTGAACCCGAACCCGAACCCGAACCTCCAGTTGACCCTCTTGAACATTTCACAACTTGCCAAGTTTGTAAGTCACCTTTTGTTGATCCTAAAACCCTCTCCTGCTTACACACATTCTGTAAATCGTGTTTGTTTTACGAGTGGCCGGATTGCGAAGGAAAGAAAACAGCAAATTGCCCGTCGTGTAATGAAGGATTCGAGGTAACCAACGCCGACGAAGAGCTTGAACCTACTCCGTTTGTGAAGAGAATGATTCAAATTAAGACTATCGAAGACCTGACAAAAAACTTAGAGATGAGCGGGGATAAGAATACGGAATTCGCACAAGCTGTGAAAGATATGGAGTGTAATTGTACACACAAAACCGAGACAAAGGACAGCGATAAAGTCGAGAGAAAAGATAGCGACGTAGAAAATCGATCCGAAGGTTCCCTGACAAGCAAAGATACTGATTCAACACAACCTGTAAAATGTGACGAGTGTTCAAGTTCTACTGATGTTCAACTATCGAGCACCCAAATGGAAGAACGTCAACCGGGAAATTGTGATAAACATGCTGATAATATTCTTGATTATTTCTGCAGTAAATGTGATCGTTTTATCTGTATCGAGTGTTTGATTACTGAACACCCGCATTTCCAACATGGCGTTTCCAAGGTAAGCGACGTTGCTCCTAGATACAAAGAAGTACTTGGCATGTTAAAGACCGAAGCGGAATATACAGCACCGGAACTCTCGCGAGCTACTGATATATATAAAGATAGAGCTTTGAGAACTGAAGAAAAACTAGACAATTTCAAGGATAAAATAAGAGAAAGAAAAGAAGAAATGCTACGCGAAGTTGTTCTATCATTGGACGAAGAGGAAAAACGACTGGTGATCATGTCACATCAGCCGTTATGATGGAGAAAGGAGATTTTGAGCAACAAGCGCAACGATTGGAAGATGATCTTCAGGTCTTGAAAGGATATTGTTATTTAACTGATAATCTTATTACTCATGGCAACTGTTTTGAAGTCATGGAAACCAAAACAGCTTTGATTAAAAGGATGCATCGTATTTGTGTGAAAGGCAAAGATCCGTTTATTCAACCTGGTGCCGAGACTCAAGACGAGATAACTATGACTTATGAACGCGGAGATTCATCAATACTCAATAAAGAAAATTCTCTGGGCTATTTACGTACGACCCAAGCGTTTGCTCCCAAATCTACGGCCGCCGGTCACGGTTTAGCTGATGTTATGTGTGGTCACAAAGGAGTATTTGGCATTACAACGAAAGATAGAGAAGGCAATGATCTGGAATACGGTAGAGCAATGCTTGATATGAAGATTATTGCATCAACGATGGAAACTATAGATTGGGATGTTGAAGATCACGACGATGGGACTTATACAGTATCCTATACTACAAATATTCTTGGTCCTCATATAATATCCGTAAGAATCGCCGGTATTCCCATCCAAGGCAGTCCATTTACTGTCAATGCCAGTATCAGTGAAAACTATAACCTAAGAGACGAGCCTCTTTTTATTTTATCACCAGAGAAATCTGGATTGTCTGATCCTACTGCAGTAGCCACTAATTCCTCCAATCAAATCTACGTCGTTGATCGTGGTAATAACAGAATTATGGTTTATTCAGAAAAGGGTGAAGAAATATTGACAATTGCCAAGAATGAAGAAGATGAGGATATATTGCAATCTCCACAAAGTATTGCAGTTACTAAATCTAATAAAATTATAGTATCTGATACAGTGAACAATCAAATTCAAGTTTTTGACAAAGATGGCAAATTTCTTCATAAGTTTGGTCAAGCTGGAGAAGGCGAAGGAGAACTTAAGGAGCCGGACGGTGTAGCTGTTGATGCCAAGGGGAATATTGTTGTAGCTGATACCATGAATCACCGGATCCAAATATTTCGTGAGAATGGTGAATTTGTATCAACCTTTGGTAAGCAAGGGACTAAGGAGGGAGAATTATTATACCCATCCGGAGTGAGTTTAGATAAATCTGGCAATGTCTTAGTATGCGACTGCGGACTGTGGAATGAAGCCAGTAAAGAAAATAATAACCGAATTCAAGTGTTTAATACTGATGGGAAATATCAGTATGAATTTGGTTCGACCGGTCAGGACACCGGACAGTTTATGAAACCAGCTAGAGTTGCGGTAGACAAGAAGGGACGAATCTTGGTAACAGATATGGATAACAGTCGGATACAGGTATTCAAGAATAATGGAACATTTCTCAACACCATTGTTCGTAGAGGGAAGAGTGACTGTTTTGACGCTCCCTGTGGTATTGCAGTCATGCAGGATGGGAGAATTATTATCACTGAAAGACAGTCGAATCAGATCCAAATATTTTGATTTGAAATTATGGGAGCCATATATGCTATTTTAATAAAACGCAATGAATGGATAGTAAACGGATAACATCTTAATGTTTCGACGATAATTTAACAGTCATATCCACGAAAAATGCCATTATGATTATGCCAATACATTAATTTCCAGTTGCATTACCCCTGAAGATGACTGTTAAAATAAAGTTGAAACGTATAGAATAAAGTGCCACATCATTAACAATTTACAGAGTATCCATTGTTTTATGATGGATTTGAAACATCCTTAGTTATTGACGGTAAATACATGTATAATCAACCGTTTGAACGTATATAAAAGATACATTCATTATGCATGCTGCGCGGACCTACCGCATTATAAACATTATTAAAAAACTAAAAGTGTGGTAATAGTCAACTACTCATAGTATTTAATACATATAGCACTTTCTGTGTTTTATATGCATTGCCAGAGAAATTATCCTTAGCTTATCATGACATTCTGCAATGCAACTGCTATACAATGCATATAAATCACAACTTGTACTAAGTTGGCTGAAAGTAGTATATTATTGTTTCATGTGGTTTATGTGGTAAATACAAGTGTTGTACACAGCCACTTAAAATAAATTGTATTTGGGTAATTATATACTGTATAACTTTCTATATCATTGAATTTGTGAATACTCTTCTGATATTTGCACGTGTATATGTGGCAGAGAAAATAGAAAGTTTATTTTGGATGGCTGAAAAAAGTAAATTTCTACAATCAAGTCTTAAAACATGCGAAGCCATGTGGTTGCAGCTTTCATTATTATACCATAATGGCCGATAGACTAAAATAATAAATTCATGTTAAACATGCATGGAGTCCAGTTGGTATAACGACCAAAGACTATTTCTGTTCATCAGTTTATGGCAAAATTTGAAATGTGTCATCTTTAAATGCCAGGATAAGAATCGTATATACAACTAGTCGAGTATCGTGTAAATGGGCCTTTAAAGACTTGATACAATAAATAGAGAAATTGGAAGAAAAAGTTAGAGAAAGTAAAAAACTGCATAAACTCTAGTAGTCCTACAGCCATATATACTCAAACGAGCAATTCTATATTTAGTTTCTGATTGTTCAAAGCAGTAGTCAAAACTCAAAAGCCGCACACCTGTAAACCTAACCCAACAAGGCAGTATAGCTTTTATGTAGTATATATAGATAATTTAAAATTTGTATTCCAACAACAGGTACATGCTCTATATAGACATATAAACATACTGTGCCTCTAGTCTATTCCGCATTTTGAGGCCTATAATTAGCTTTACGTAAACATACTCTTGTCTCTACTGACGTACAGTATACTTACAAAAGAAAAAATCAATAAATATTAAACACTTCATATTTAAATAAATGTGAAAATAACAAACACAATAATACTTATTATCATTCACTTTATAGTATTCTCAATTTTGATTGGTTAATTTACCTGCAAATAACTGCGTGCAAATAATAGTCTAAGCATGCGCATTTGATACAAACGTTGCTCAGCTACAAATAATAGTCTGAGCATCCGCATTGCCTTCAATTTTTGTAAACAATGGCGGCTCGCTTAATTAAGCTCGCTTTGCTGAAAACAAAAAAAGCGACTAAAACCGCCGTCAATGTCATTCGCCAGTATTTAGAAGCAAGACAAATCAACGAAGACGATCTAGTAATAGTTGACTGAACTTGCCAACGTCCTTCGCAAGTTTTTATGCAGAAGCAAGAAAGAGAGACGGCGAACTTATATGAAACGAAAGATAAAATGAAGCTTTATAAGTGAATGATAAAACAATTAATGAACTCGGTTCTCGCAAAATGTCGTGATTTGTCGGTGGCTCCCAGATCAATTATTTGCCTCTGCCTTCGGCATCGGAAAATAATTGATCTGGGAGCCACCGACAAATCAGAATATTTTTCTCAACCTCGTCCAATAATTGATAAATATTATGTTCATGGCCGGGCGTCAGTAATTCCGACGGTTGGATCCCCTTAGCAAGACAAAATTTGGCTTGCATGCATAATAATGCAATAAAATGACTAAAAGTGTCAATGCAACTATAGCTATGAAATTGCAGGAACGACTGATCATCTAGCTATGCAGTTGCAGGAACGATTGAGTACTGCGTGCCTAATATATATATATATACATATATATATATATACCGGGTGGCGCAAAAAAAAGTATAACTGTTTGATTACATATAGCTCAAAGACCATAAGCAGTAGAACCCAAAATCGAGTTTCATTGCATCCAGCGATGTCTAACTTAAATTTTGGTATATTCGACAGGTATTTTCGTCCAAGATTGACTGAGATATGAGTGTTTA